ACATATATGTGTTCAATGAAAAGTGAAAGAATTAGTTCATCTGCGAGCGTTCCAATGATAGTTTTGCGTTAGTGTCTCAATATGTATATAATTTTATTGTCTTGACGTTAAATAATTCAAATTTTTAAATGGACTAATTTAGTTTTAATATCAATGGAGAAACTTCATATAATAGCGTTCACATAGTATGTCAAAAAATTATTTTGTGAAGAGTAAAAATTATTTATTTTTCACAAAATCATTTTTAGCTTCGATGCGTAGCTAAGAAACTATTAGTTTTACTCTGTCTTGTTTTTTTTGTACGTATACGTGATTATTTCCGTTCCTATTTGACCGATTCTTAAAAAGATCATAAAATGGAAATAGTTGAAACTATAAATGTCATAATTTTATTATTTTTATTTTATTTGCAGAAAAAGACAATGCAGTTTTGAAAGTCGAAAAAACTTATTATTTAGTTGGTAAAAAGCTTCGGGCAAAATGTATATCACCAACTACTTTGTTTCCAATTAATATTACTTGGTTTGTAAACGACCAGGAGGCATGTATACGATTTTAAAATATATTTAGATTAATTACTACTCATAAAAATATCGAGTGCCGGTGTAGATATAACTAATAAAGTATTGAATCTGAAAGTTATTAAAGTCACTATATTAAACTGTTGTAGTACTATCTTATTATATAATAGAACAAGGAAAAAAACGCTTTTCTAGAAAAATTATTTAGCGTGCTCGGATTTTCAAAATTTTTTTTTCAACAAAAGCACTCGGTCACTAGACTCCGGGAAAATTATTGGAGAAGGTCGGAAAATTTTTGCCGCTCTCCCGCGAGCGTTTTAAAATTTCGACCGTTTTTGAGAAAAACAATCGCTGACGCCAACGTTTTACGACTTAAGGTTTGAAATTTTCATCAGACCCGCCCAATAATATTTCTGAGATATGATAAAAAAATTAATTCAATCCGTTCATTTTTCACCGTTTTATGAGGTCTTTTTTTTTTTAAGTCCACGCGCATGGTTTTAATATGCGCATTGATTCTTGTCTGCCCATACGTTTATTATGAACCTTAATTATATGGTGTAGTATGTATTTTTATTAGGACACTATTTTGCATTTGCACATAGCACTATACCTTATCGAGGAATATTATATGTTATATATAAATTTTAAGACGGTTATAATTATATAAGTTTGTACTTTCATTATCAGAACAGTACATTATTAATAATTTTTTTCTTCTCATAAATGATGTATGAGTCTATGAGTTTATCGTTTAAATTATGATTTATCTATGACAACTATGCTGTCCAACGTTAAATCGCAGTTACCAATATTTTTATCAAAATTAAATTTTTACATAGTCTACGTATAATAACCCGCTGAATTTTTTTTAATTATTCTATAATATGAACACAACTATTATAATTAGAATATTGATAATTTTTGTGTTTACCAGGGGTGTATTTAAGGGAGATATGGGCCCCCCTTGAACCAGGGCTATCAATATTTTTTTAGGCAACTTCTAATAAATAAGTACCTAATGTTCTTTTTTTTCATCATTACTTTAATTTTTAGCAAAAAAAATTCTATAATATGTTTAACAAAGTAAAAAATATTAAATACCCTCCTAAAATAATTTTTGAATAGGCCTAAAGGGTGAAGGGAATACCTCATTAACAAACGTTAACCTTATATCCAATACATTTNGGTGAAGGGAATACCTCATTAACAAACGTTAACCTTATATCCAATACATTTTACTATCATTTTTATAGTACAATTACAATCAAATTTACTATATTTTTTCTCTTTTTGAATTTTAATAATAACATTTTTAATATATTTTTGTTACACCCCTACCGGAATCAACTTATGATGACGGCCCGAAGAATCTTACTCGTCGAAGGCGCGTAAGGCTCGTAGGGCTCCGGGTCTGGGGCGTTATATTATATAGTTATATTATATAAAGAGTGAAGTATATAGGGTGTTCAGTAAGTAAGGAAAAGAGTTTCTACCGTTCTCATTGTTTGTAACAATTGACCAGTTTCTTTACTTTTTGAACACCCTGGTATATATTATCATTAACTACTAAATTATTTAAAAAATAAAAATATTATTTTTAAAATCATTTTAGTAGAATATCGTAGCCTTACAATATAAACGAAATATTTAAAAAAATATCATTTTGACATAACTTACTCAAAAATCCCATTATATTGTTTATAGAATTTTAATTGAGTTTAAGATAACTTTCTTGTTTTAAGTCTGTATCATTAGGCTCAGAAATTTATACCAAATATTAATTAACACCAAAATGTTAAAAACCATATATTTTGATGTTTGAATTTTAGGGGTGTGATATATTCTTAATTTGTTAATCATTATAACATTTTTAAGTCTCTTATGCCTTATGAGGGTTTAACTATTTTTAACGGTAATATTTAATATAATATTATTATATTAATAATCATTTATTTTTTTAGATATCTAATAACAAACCATTAACACTTCGTGTTCCTAATGAGTTTAAGACATATTCGTCTTTAGAATATGACGTTTTATCTACTAATCAGTTGAAAATACGTTGTGTATTCAGTTATTTTAATAAAATCCATTCTGATGTGGAAGTAGTTGTCAACAAAAATATTTATGGTAAGTTGCCTAGAGTTTTTGATAACTTCCACATGTAATAAAATAAAATAGTGGTTTGAATATAACATGTTTCCATATTTAAAAAACAAATTATAATTATATAATATTTCACTTACATGCATATTTGAATATTTTGCGGAATATTTAATTTATTGTAAATAAACCTAATAACACATGGATTAATGTACCGTTATAAGGATTTACTGGGTGATTTATNCAATAATTCATTTGTTTACATTTTATTAAAATTATTAATTATTTTTAAATTTTAAATAAAATGTATATATTTCTGTATAATATTTCACTTACATTAATATTTGAATATTATGCGGAATATTTAATTTATTGTAAATATACCTAATAACACATGGATTAATGTACCGTTATAAGGATTTACTGGATGATTTATCCTTGGATATCATTTAAGAGACAAGCTAATAGTTGAATAAGTTTATTTCAAAAATATTTTTAAGTATTTCTTATCAAAAAAAAATATTATTCCCTGATCATCAGAATATTGGGTTGGCTCGAATGAAAAATATATTATGTAGTANCCTGATCATCAGAATATTGGGTTGGCTCGAATGAAAAATATATTATGTAGTAGTTACAATCTTAAGACTAGTCTTTATTTTTTAGATATGATGTCATCTGTTAATGAAGAATTATCTGAAGTAAAATCAATTTGTTCAGAAATTAATTCTTGATCAACAAAAACTTGAAGAGAAAGTATTAAATATTCACTCATTTATTTACACTAAATTACAATAATAGTTTAAAATAATTACACGTTTATAAAATAAAAAATGTTATTCATTATGTACTTTGTATGAAACAATATAAATAAAGTTGAAAAATATGAAAATTAATTTAAATTATATTAAAACTACAATCAATCTGAAATTTTCTTATATTATTATACAGGTTTGATAAATTTTAAACCTGGAAGGGAGTTATGAACATGATTAATCCTAAAGTAATAATTATATCGAGAATTTTTTTGTTATTTCTTATTGTAATAAATTTCTCAATGTATATATAAGTTTATTTTCCGCAAGAGTCATAAGTTCAACATTTAATATAAGTTCAATAGTTCAATAGTTAATATAAGTTTAATAGTTCAATTGTTTTTATATTGACTTGAAATAATCCAATTATTTAAACATCTAACAAACACTAGACTTAGTCTATTTGGAGTGGTTTTTTTTTATATAATGTACAAACAAACTTGGAATAACATTAAAATTTATGTTAATTTTCATCAGATACTGTTCGATTCTATTACTGAAGCATAATATCTATTTTACGTTAAAAGTTTATACCAAATTGTTATCTTTTGTAAAAGAAAAATATGATGGCTTTAATCACACAGTGGAAGTTTATAATTTGTACTTATTTACTTGGTAAGTAAAATGTTTATTTATATTTTGAATTTTTTATTATTCAGATGAATTCAAAATAAAGTTTTATGAGACAACTCGTATAATAACATTATTACTCGTATTATGAAATTAAAGTTTATAATGTATTCGATAGTTTATAAAATATAATTTTCATTTGAATCAATTTAATTGTTTAAACATTTAACAAAGTTGACTTAATGTGTGCAGAGACAAAAATCCGTATATCCGATCTTGAGAAGGAATTGTGAAATTATAAGCTTTTAAGAAACACTTAGGTTAACATGGAAGCTTTAATAATAACGTCAACCGGTAGTGATAGAATATATTGGAAATAGAAAATATTATTGTTTAATAGTATTTTCTGTCTAAAAATTAATTAAAAATAATTTTTCATTATTAAGTTATGTGTCCTACCACTTTTTTGGAGTTTGTTTTTATATATAACTTAATAATTATAGGTAAAGTTAATAGTTTTAATGTTTTTACCGAAATTACACCGGACATTACAATGGAAGGTTATTCGGTAATGATTTCGTGTCACTGTGGTCTTGAAGAAAATGAGTCAATTAATTCAATAGAATGGTATAATAATGAAAAATTATTATATCGTTATTCTCCAAAGAATACACTTAATACTAGTGATTTCAATAACCCAAATATTTTTATTAGAGTAAGTTTTGAAAGTTAATCACCCATTTAATTACTAGTCATAATAATAACAAAATAAAAATAAAGCTTACAATTATAATTTTTTTATATGCTACTTATCAATAGAATAAAAATAAAATTCATGTATAATAATAATGAATTATAATTTCTTAGACTTACAACGAATATAAAGAGGAGGTTGACTTTATTAGAATGTTCTTAATTAATGTTACCAGAGATTTTAGTGGCATTTATCGATGTAAAGTCACACTTGATACGCCTTCTTTAATATCAAATGAATCGTCCAGAGAAATTATAGTATTGCGTAAGTATTAAAGTGGATCGAAAATAATGAATCTTTAATATGTTAATTGAGTACCTGCTAAATATATTCAATACACAAAAAAAGNGTTAATTGAGTACCTGCTAAATATATTCAATACACAAAAAAAGCAAATTTTAAGTTAACCTTTTTTTGCGTATTAAAGACAACGTTTTACATTTGATCTAATAACCATCTACATTGAGTTGACACTTCCAGCTGATTATTACCAATAATTTAAAGTTTTGTAGTAAAATAAAAAATATTAGCACAAATTTAAAATTATGTTTGTTTAAATGATATTTAAGTATACTGTTGAATGTTAAGAACATTTTTAAAAACTTTGACCATCAAAAACTACAAAAATTGATTTTTTCTAACTGTTATAAAATTTAAACAAGTTGCAAAAAAATTATAGAATATATATTATTTATATTATATTATAATATACACAGAGTATATTGTGAGAAAAATAAAAAATTTCTAAAATTTTTTTCGAATTAAAAAACAATAAAATATTCTTATTTTATGAGTAAAAATAATTTTTTTTAGCTATCTTATATCTTAGATTTTATTACATTTTGTTTTTATTTATAAAAATGTTACTTGTAGAAAAAGAACACCCAATATTGAAAGTAGAAAAACTCAAATATACAAACGGTGAAAAACTTCGAGCAAATTGTACGTCACCAACAACACATTTTACTAATAATATAACTTGGTTTATAAATGATAAAGAGGTATATATATATAACTTTAAAATAGAAGACAGACAGAAAAACATTATTTTTTAAATAAAAAAATGATCTCTCTTTGATTCAAAACTACTTTAAATTAGTAATAATATTGTATACTTGTCTAAATGTCATTTGAAATTGATATCTCTGAACAAAATTTGTTTACACATTCCAATTTGATAATAAATTATAAATGTAATTCGCACCGACTGAATATAGCCTTAGAATTTTTGTAAGTTAGTTTTAGACGTAAGACGATAATCCTGGCGATGAAAAGTACAATTTTATGTAAAAATCGCAAATTTAAAAAAAAACTGTAAAAAGTAATTGCGCAAAAACCAGTTTGAAAGTGTTTTTAAGAAATTAGTGTAAACTCCATTGGAATATTAAAAACGGATGATTAGAGGCCAATTCCTCTTATTATTTTTCGAAGCTATTTTATAAAAAAATATACTATCAAAATATATTGATATATTACAGGAAATTTTTACAAAAAAATGTTATAGCTATCATTGCCTTATGATAAATTACAATTTAAATTTCATAACTGAAATTATAATTAACTAATGAGGGTCAGAATAATCGATTTATCTTTTCTTTTTATTAATAATTTCTACTAACATTTTTTCTAAAAGAATCACCCTATATACAAATACTTCATAACTTTTTATATAATTTCCGTGGAAATAACAATACACAATTATTGAATATCAATTACAAAATTAATTTTAATTACTTGATCAATATTTATTCATGTATTATACTTATAAATTATAAAACTTGTAATTAGGATAAATTATGGAAATAGTAAGCGTCGATATTTCATGAAGATTCACTTTGGTAAATTTTGTAGAAAGTAAAATGTCTGTTGTAATGTAATTATTTTGAGTTCTACATCTACCAAATGATTGGATCTCTTTTATGTTTAAAATAAAACCAAAGGATAAGGTCTAGGTTCGGTTCGAATTTCAACTATTATTAGTTCATTTTAAACGTATATCTGTTTATATCAAGAAAAAAAAAATTGTCTAAAATTAATTTTTATGATCTTATTTCAGATAACTAATAATAGACCAGAAACATTTTTTTTGCCTGGTATTTCATTCACATTGATCAAAACTTTTTCGTATTTGGAATACAACGTTGTGTCATCAAGCCAACTGAAAGTACACTGTTCAATTACATATAGTCCATTTCGACCTATACAAATATCTAAATATTTTAAAATTAATAATAATGATAATATCGAAAAGGTGATTAAAGAATATACAAAAGATATAACTGATGTAGAAGTGGTTGTCAACAGTGAATAAGTTTTGTTACATTTGTTCAAACCTCATTAACATAATTCAATTCTAATAATAAAATTATTGTTAATATAAAAATATTAAATAATATTATTTTATATTTGTATGTTTGAACTTATGTGTTAATTTTAAGGAA